TGAGTTCATGGTATATTTTGAATATAGAGCTGATGGAATTTGCTGATGAAAAGGTTATAGATGTGAGGGAAAAATAGGAGTCATGGTAGTCTCTGGTATTTTTGTCCTGAAGGACTGGATGAGTAGAAAAAACTAGGGAGGGGAAGATTTGGGCTCAGAATGAGGGGAGATCATGGTTTTAGACAGCTGAAAGAAACATATCTGCCAAGACATCACTTCTTCACATGAACCATTCCCCTCCCAACTCTGTCAGCACTTACCTCACCTTCCCACTCAGTGTGGACTTGACTTAGACAGATCCTTTCCAACTACTTGTGGAACTGTCACCTGGCTCAGAAACTCCTTGTATTTACATAGCCAGTGCTTTGTAGTTTCCAAAGTATTTCACACCTGTTGCCTCATTTAATCTTCACAGGAAGCACCTGCAGCAGGTGTAACCATCCATTTTACACCATGGGGAACTGAGGCTCAGAGAGGGGAGCCAGCTTGCTTAAGGACATTTCACTGTAGATGACTGTGTTACTCAGCTTTCCATTGCTGTGACAAAATAGCTGAGCAAATCAACTTAGGAAGGATTTATTTTGGCTCATGATTTCAGAGGTTTCAGTCCATTACTTTTTCTGTAGCAAGGCAGAGACATCATACTAGAGGGCCATGGGAGGAAAGCTGCTCACTCACGGTGGCCAGGAAGCAGGGAGAGAGAGGAAGGAACCAGGGACAAGGTCCACCCTTGAAGGATGTGCTAACCAGTGACCCACTTCCTCTAACTAGGCCCTGCCTTCTAGTTCCCATCACCTCCCAATAATGCCATCAGATTATAAATCCATCAATGGATTAATCCATCAGTTAGGTCAGACCTTCATGATCCAATTACTTCACGAAAACCCCACCTCTGAACATCAAATTGGGCAACAAGCCTTCAACACATGAGTTTGAGGGACATTTCATATCCAAACCATAACAATGAGGGAGAACTTGAACCCAAGCTCCTGGATGCTATGTTCTGGATTGTTCTTTTCCATATCTGCTTATAGATAAGGAAGAGAGTCCTACATCTTACCTGCTAGCACTGTCTGTGACTTTGTTTTAGCGATGACCTATGAGAGAACACCCTCCTGCACCATGTGTGCTTCACAGCTGCTGAGTGTGGGTGCAGCTAGAATGGCAGGGCAGGGGCTACCCAGGCACCTGGGAAGTGTGAGCACTGGGGGCCCTGAGTTGGTGGGGGGGGCCTTCAGCTTTCTCTGGCTTAACTTTAATTCTGCTCTACAAGTGGCCTGATGACATCATAGGAAGCAGAGACCAATAGGTAAAGTCTCTCCATCTCTTGGCCCACCCCTCTACAAGTTTGCCCACATTCAAATCCCCTTGACCTCCTTCCTCTGTCTCTGTGGCAGAGGTGTGACCTCACCTGTCCAAGGTCAGTCATCCCACCTGGCCTCTGGGCCCCATCCCCTTCAGACCACCCAGATGGCTCTTCCCCTCTCTCTCTCCCCCTCTTCTCCTGTTCTTTCCTGCTCCATTGTCTCTTCCCCTGCAATTGTTTCTTCCTTCCCTAAATGAAAGTCAACCGACTTGGAATATAGCTCAACATGCAAGGCCCCGGCTTCAATTCCCAGCAGCACAAAAAAGAAGGGAAGAAAGACAGGGAAAGAAGAAGAAAGAGGAGGAGAAGAGAGAGGAGGAAGGGAAGGGAGAGAGGGAGAGAAAAGAAAAAAGACAAGAGAAGAGAAAATCAACTACCCTCCTTCTTACCTGGGCCACACCCTTCACAGCCAAGTTACTGGAAATTGTAACCTTATGCACTGGTGCCATTTCCCCTTCCCCACCGACTCTTTGTCACATTGGAATCAAGTTCCTGCCACTTCCCCTACCTATTTCACTTTGCTGGGCTCACTGGGACACCAATGACCTTGGAAAAGGACTGATTCCTAACTTAGCAGTGGCCACCCTATTAATACTGCTGGCTCCCTTGACATAGAAGACATCACGCTTTTGTGCCCTTCTTCACCAGCCCTTTGGCCTCCTCTTCTTCCAACCAAACACCAAAGGTCAGAGCCCAGGATTCCCCATCCCCGCCCCCCAATCTAGATGAGCCCACCTGCTTATGCTCTGAACACCTCGCTTCCTCCTAAGGCCCAAACTTCTCACTAGCACCTGCCTACAATCTGGAAGTGGACCTGCTGTGATATCGCCTTCTCTGTTTAGTATCCCCATTTGTACAGATGCCCCTAGCCTTCTGGAAGGCTGAAAATGGGGACTTAGAAGGCTGTTCTTTAATGGGAGTCAATTTAACCAAATCCGGGATTGCTGGATGCAGGACAGTTGGCCAAAGACAAGATTTGAAAAAAAAGGAAAACAAATCTGAAGGAGCCTTTCAAAAGAAATCCTTTCTGCTCCTTTAGAAGCAAAGGTTTAGGCTCTTGGAGTTGGTAAAGCCTACATCTTTCTCAAGGAAGCAAGGTAGGGAAGAGAACAGGACTGGGGAGGAGAGCAAGGGTCAGCCAGCTCCTTTCTCAACACCTACACAGGAGCATTGCACGAGGGCCCTTTGGAAAGGCTCTCTAAGCACAGATGGACATTTTTACCTTCATTTTCAGGTTTCCAGACCCCTAACACTCACTGACCCATCAATCTGTGCGCTCGCCACTAGCTCAAGTTGAAGACACTCAGTTTATGTGTGCTTTAGTCCTAGTTTGGGCTGCATGAGATAGCAAGGGGATTTACAGGGTGGCTTTACATCCGGGTTTGCTCAGGACAGTTCACATTCCAACGTAGTTCTGAGGCATTGGGTCACCTATAAGTTACGGCCTTTTGGGGGTAGAAAGGAAATAGGATGAAACAGAGCAACATGAGGGCCTAAGCAGGCTCCCTCGATCCTTAAAGGGGCAACTGCAAGTTCAGTGCACAGGATGCCAAGAGCGTTATAAACTCAGCCTTGGCCGAGGAAATCTCTGTATTCAACAAGTGTACACATGGTAAGACGGTGGCAGGAGGTCCCAGGAAACAAGCGGTATCTGAGGACAGGTGAGTGGCAGCACAGGGGATCTAGGTGATGAACACATTCAGGTCCTGAGCTGAGAGAATGTTCTAGCTAAAGGCTGGAGAAAGCAACACTGGCAGGGACAGACGCTGGAATTAACCTCAGCACCTTCTGCCTTCCTGTGTCCTTGATGTAGGAGGAAGAGTCTTTTCGCAAGATCTTTTAAGAACTTAGTGTCTAGAACCCTTTGAAATACAGTCTGAGGTAAATCCATTGAAGAGAAGGATGTGGTATGGTGAGAAATTGTGGTATGACAGATCCCAAGAATGTGAGTCAACACACACACACGTGCACACACACATGCACACTGATGCCCATGGCAGTCCCCTTCCTCTGTGGTGTCACTGTCCATGGTTTTCATGGACTTTACCTAAGGTCAACCACGGTTAGACAATAAAAAATATTTGTCTTTTTTTTCCTTTTTTTTAATTGTTTATATATTTATTCATATGTGTATACATTGTTTGGGCCATTCCCCCGCCCTGCCCCTGCCTCCCTCCCTCTCCTCCCCACCCCCCTCGCTTCCAGGCAGAGCCTGTTCTGTCCTCTTCTCCAATTTTGTTGAAGATAAAGCATAAGAGATAATAAGAAATATATAGCATTTTTGCTAGCTTGAGATAAGGATAAGTATAGAGATTCCTAGCATTGCTTCCATGCACTTGTGTATTACAACCCGAATTGGTTCATCTCTGCCAGACCTCTTCACTACTTCTGGGTCCCCTTCCCATAGAGGCCTCTGTCAGTTTAAGATTACTTTATTCACTCCTCTACAGTGGGCACATCAACCACTTTCAAGTTTTAGGTTTCCTTCCCTTTCCCTAGTCCTCCTGTATGCATTCTCCCCTTAGCGTGTGACCCATATCCAATAATATTACTGCATTTATTTTAGGTCTACAGTCTGCACATGAGGGAGAACATATGAATTTTGGCCTTCTGAGCCTGGCTAACTTCACTTAAGATGATGTTCTCCAGTTCCATCCATTACTTGCTAATGACAAAATACCATTCTTCTTTGTGGCTGAGCAAAATTCCATTGTGTATAAATACCATATTTTCTTAATCCATTCGTCAGTAGTGGAGCATCTTGGCTGTTTTCATAGCTTGGCTATTGTGAATAGCGCTGCAATAAACATGGGTGTGCAGGTGCCTTTGTAATAACCTGAGTCACATTCCTCGAGTATCCCTAGGAGTGGGATTGCTGGAGCATACAGCAGATTTATGTTTAGTTTTTTTTTTCTATGTTTAGTTTTTTAAGAAGCCTCCTATTGTTTTCTAAAGTGGTTGTACTAGCTTACATTTCCCTGCATCCTCACCAACATTTGTTGTTGGTGGTGTTTTTGATGATAGCTATTCTAACAGGGGTGAGGTGGAATCTTAGTGTGGTTTTGATTTGTATTTCCTTTATGGCCAGGGTTGGTGGGCATTTTTTCAGCCATTTGGACTTCTTCCTTTGAAAAAGTTCTGTTTAATTCAGTTGCCCACTTCTTTATTCGTTCATTGATTTGGTAGGAGTTTAGTTTTTTGAGCTCCCTGTATATTTTGGTTATCAGTCCTTTGTCTTATGGATAGCCAGCAAATATAAAAATATTTGTCTTGACTTTTAAGAGAAAGAGACCACAAACACAGAACATAGTCAGTGTGCTGTTATAATTGTTCTGTTATAATTAGTTATTGTTGTTGGTGCCTTATTGTGCCCGATTTATATATTAAACTTTATCTTAGGTGCATATGCATGTATAGGAAAAACATAGCATAGGTAAGGTTCAGTACCACCTGTGATTTCAGGCATCACAGTGGGACTTGGAACACAGTCACCACATGTAAGTCTGGGTGGGGGAGACAATGTGTCCCCAATTCCTTCCCAATCTGGTCTTTGGTGCAGCAGCTGGAATCTGCTTTCTGAAGGTAGGCATTCATTTGAAGCAAATTTTACCTGGATACAAATGCTAAACTGATTGCAGAGAAGCCCAGAGAAGGGAATATTACAGTATTTAGTGGTACCAGAATTATCCCCAGGTCATCAGTACACAGAAGGCTGAACATTGATTCCAGTATCAAAGAACCACCTTTCCAAATTCTCCAGAGAAGGCACCAGAACTAAAACAACCAAAAGCCAGTGAATATCTGTGCTATCTCACCTAGGTAGGTAATGTTTTAGATTCAAGCAGACTGAGGCTCAGAGTAGATAAACTTGTCCTAATTACAGCTGTCAGGAAGTAACACTGGAACCCAACTCCCAATTAGCCAAAAACGAAAAACCTAAATTATTAAAAATAGTTTTTATTTCATCCAAAGCAGAGCTAAATACAATTCTACAATGCAAAACATGTTATAGAGGCAAGACAGTCTGATCACATCCATTGTGTGCTTAAACATGGGTGGGTGCTGGATGTGCACGTCTGTGCCTTCCAGAGGCACCCCTGGACCCAAGGCCTCCCAAGGCCTGTCATTGTATCAACTGATCTATAAAGTTATATAGGAAAATTGACTATGGGTATTGTCATCCAAGCCAGAGGAATAAATCATGCATATGATAGTCAAAAGCACTGCATATCAGGTGGGGGTGGGAAGGCAGGGACTCCAACCTAGGACAAAGTGCAGCAAGCTGTAGGATTTTCCCCAGAAGCCCCTCCTCATGTCAAACCCTCCCCCCAGCCCTCTAATAAAACTGTCTATAAGTCACAGACAGATGGAATCCAGGAGCAACACAGGTCTTCCCCTCTGTCTCTTATCCTTCCCCAGTCTCCCGCTCAGGCCAGAGAACATGGCTTCTGGAAAGCACAGTCTCTCTCATCACACATCACCCCTTCTGTGTGCAGCCCACCCACTCTGCAGTCATGCCACAGCACACACACACACACACACGCACGCACACACACGCACGCTCACACACACACGCACGCACGCTCGCACGCACACACACGCACGCATTCACTCCGCACAATCACACCCTCCCCTTCCACCACCCTCACACAAGCTGTGAAACGAGGTGTGAAAATTCTGTGCCCCATCGGCCCCTCTCTCGGGCCTCTGTCTCTCTACAACTTCATTTTGGCTGCCTACTGCCCAATGCCTACATAGGGAAAACCCAAAGCCTCAAATGTAGACATCCTGTTAGAGCTCTGAACTTGATCTTTGGTCTCATTGACATCACTGTAGCATACATGGCCGGGGCTCCCAAGGTCTCTTTTGTCAGTTGCTCTCTACAGCCCACCAGCCCTGAGACCACCATTGGAGGCTGGCACCCACTGCAGGTTGGCTTGGGGAACACGGCTTTGCCCATATGCATCCAATAGCGAATCCATGGTGATGTTTGTTGTCAGGACTGCATTTAAGCACTCGTAAGACCTCACCCACTAAATGCCAGGATTTTCCCAAGAATTGAGACAGCCAAAAATATCCCCCCCCTACAGCCCCAATCACGTCTATTGAAAACCACCAAACAAGAGCCATGGACAAGAAACTTTAAGCATCAGTTGGAGTCAAGGTGTCTAAGATTACAAAGAATAGTTTCAAAGGAGAGGAGTGGGAAGAATGTGAGTGTGTGTGAGAGAAAGAGTGTGTGTGTGTGTGTGTGTGTGTGTGTGTGTGTGTGTGTGTGTGTGTGTGTGTGAAGCATGGAACACAGAGATGAGGACATGACAGACTTGGAACAATTCCTTCCATTATAAAACCTGTTTCCCAGATGCCTTTCCAAGTTGAAAAGACTTTAAACAAAACTCGCCAAGCCTCACGACAGACCTGTGAGGTAGGTAAGTATTATGACACCCATTGGATAGATGGAGAAGCTGAGCCCAGAGAAGGTGAGGGAGTCGCCTATATGCCAGCAATAGATCAGGAGTGGGAAAGGAAGGCTGTCACCCTTCCTCTCCCACTCTGCGTGCTCTCAAGAGAGCAAAGTCCCATGACACTCCGCCTCTTCAAACACTGGCACAGGGAAGGGAGAAGAAAGCAGTTTTGTATGAAGGCAGCTAGAAGCTTCCTGAATGTCTGAAGGCTCCGGTGTCTGCTCTCAAAACTATGGACAGCTGAACCTCAGTCCACAAGTGGTGGGGGAGGACAGGAGAAGAGGAGGCAAATCAGAGAGGGACTCAGCATGCCCCTCAGCATGGACAAGGGACACTGACCACAGTCACCCTGAGGTGCTGCTGTTCTCAGTCTCCCCCAACTTCCACTCTCTGGGAAGCCAACAGCTGCTTCTGAGTGGAGCCCTGAGGTTCTGAGAAGACACCTGCACCTCTCCATCCACCCCCCGAGTCACAAAGGACACAGTGTCAGAAATCTAAAGAGGGGCTGTGTGAGAGCAGATGGCGGAGACCCATTACTACACCTCCGTGTCCATCTCACAGGGACCCTGGCAGTCAGATCCATCAGAGGACCCATCTCACACCATCACATCTCCTGATCAGGGTCCCAGACAGGTACCTCCCAGCAGGTGTTTCCGAGACTTAGTCACCATACTTCAGTCTCGTGGCCTCTTCCACAACCTTGAGGAGGGAGACTAAGGAACCCCACCACTGCCACACCAGACTGTGCAGTTAGCTCAGGGTGGGTGGGCTAGAGGAGGGGGTAATAGCTAGGCCTCAAGGCGCTAAGGCATAGTCTAGCCCCACACTCAAGGTGTGCAAACCATCTCTGTGGAGAGTAGAGGAAAAGTGTGGGCACCCTCTCCCTGCTCCTCTCCAGTCCTGGGCTGGGAGATGGGGTGACCCAGCTGAGCAGGAAACATCTAGAAAACCCCAGGACTCTCCCATCCAAAGAAGGTCCTTGAGGTGAAGGCAAACCCAAGGCTGTGGGATGGACAACCCTGGGGGCAGGGTGAGGTGTGATGGAGGGACACAGGAAGAGCAAGTCAACTGGACAGGAGGTTGGAGGGAACCACCTCTCAAGCAAGGAGAGGTGTTTCAAGAGAAGGAGGAGCAGAGGGAGCCAGGCTCAGAGTGCCTGGATGGCAATGGTCCTGCCATGCCAAAGACAGGGCTGCCAGCATTGTAGGGCTGGGAAAGGCATTCCAATGAGAGCGACCCAGAACAATGGCTTATCCATCTCTGAAGGCAGAGGAAGCCCTCAGGTGCTCTAGGAAGGTTCAAGAGGGCCCTCACTGAGCACCTCATCAGTCTAGAGAGCAGAGGGGTGGGCTAGGTGAGCTGGGATCCCTCAAGCACAGGGGGCGGGGGGTGGGGTGCGAATGGGAGGGGAGAAGTTCCCCACTAGAGGGACCACGGGAGACCAGGGATCCTTCAAAACCCAGCTTGCCTCTATTATGGCCCCATCTCCAGAAGCCTCTCCCCCAGGTCTTCTCCAGAGTCCTCTAGCCCACTCCCACCATCAAAAGGGTTTGTTCTCCACACACAGCTACTCCTCAACCCACCTCCAATGTCCTGCTTTAGGAGCAGCTCTCACTGATCCCCCAAGTCCCTCTAGGTTAAAAAAAAAAAATCAGGAGGAAGACCAAGGTCCTGCTGACACAGGTGAGAACCTGAAGAAGACCCCCATCTTCCCAGGTGTCAGGGGACCAGCCCCTCCAGACCATTTCAGGCCCTCTTTTGCCTTTCCCAAACCTTCCAAAGGCCCCCTCTCCTGGCCAGTCCTTGTCCCTGGGAAGCCCTGGCTGGGGAAGGGGTGGAGCAGGCTAGGCAGGACCCTGGTCTCTTCCTGCCCAGAAAGACTATAGTTTGAGCCAAGCAGCAGACTCCTCAGGCACATAGGTTCTATGAACAAGGCTCAAGCGTCAATGTCTTCATCAGAAAGCAGGCCTCCCCGTGCTGCTTGGCCTAAAGCAGGGCCTCACACTTTTGTGGGTGGCTTCTCTTCCGCCTTGGAGCCAGGCAACCCATTCTCTGTGTTGTCGTTCCCCGAGGAACTCACGAGACACTCTTTCCTGGAGAGGGAGAGAGAGACACTGGTGAAGGTAGTAAGGAATGACTGGGGAGGGGAGTCATAGCCCCGTGTGCCCAGCCCTGTTCCCTCCCCCAGCCTTCTAAGAGCTAAGGGAGTAAGAGGCCAGGTCACCTAACCTCTCCATACCTCTGTTTCCTCATCTATAAGCTAGACATAACTGTGACACCTTCCCCAGGAGCACTTAGAAGGGTGGTGACAGGTAGAATGGTTCTGTAAGGCTTAGCCATTGCCTGGTTGTCACCTTATGGCAGAGGCCAAGGGGTGCTGGGTACTGTTCCCAGGGATCATAGCCAGGCTGAGCCACCCTACGGATAAGGGTCCCAGCCAACAAGGACTAGGCTGGGGACACAGGGCTCCCCTCCACAGTGCCCACCAGGCTCTTCCTTCCTCCCAACCTCTGGAACAGGAGGCAGGAGAGTGAGAGCGATGGGGAAGGGACAGAGTAAGCAATGACCCTCAAATATGGCAGGTCCGGGTAGAGGGTGGTAAGATAGGGCAGAAGGTAGAAGAATGACACACAGTCAGATGGAAAGCACCTCCTGGGAGCCATGGCGCCCTGATTCCCCTGGCTCTGATTTAAGTTTGCCCCTCCTCCATAGCAGTGCCCAGGTGGACAGAGATCACATGAAATGCTCTTACATTTTACTGTAATGAAGGTTTTCCTTATTTCTCAAGGAACCCCTCAGGCTTCCCTAGGACCTGTCCCGTGCCCCCAATATCTCCCCCCACATTTCTGTGCCCCCCAAGATCAGAACCTTTGATCATGTCAGTGCCCTGCCAGCTGCAGCCTGGGCTCCAGGTCCCTAAGAGTCTGTCCCCAACTCCTTTAGTCTTTCTTTTCTTCCTCCTCACAGCACCCCCTACTGCATTGCAAAGGTATTGCTCTCCAGACTCTATCACCACCCAGACTCAGCTCTGTGCTTCCTCCAACTGGAATGTCTGCCCCTTTGTCTCCACAGGGATGAAATTATCTATATCCACCACAAACACCTGCTGAGCCCGGTATCTCCTCCTCCTCTGAACCCTGCGGCATTTTATTATGCCTTTTTGCTGGTACTATCCGTTCTACTTTGTACTTTCCTGTACACATCTTGTCTCCTTTACCAAAGGGCAGAATCTGATTCCTTCCAGAATGTCCTACAGTACCTGGCACAGAGCCTTACACACAGTACCTCAAAAATAACCATCAAATAAAAGAATGCATGAACAAACTCTGGATAGGCCCAATGAGTCTGTAGGATATGGCAGCAATGATTTTAGAGTAGAAGCCAAATAAGTAGGAGTTAAAATTCCAGCTCTATCACTTACTAGCTGTGTGACCTTCGGCAAGTCACTTAACCACTCTGAGCCCCACTTCACTCAACTGTAAAATAAAAATTATGGGTATTGTATAACAATGCCTGGTGGAGATCCAAAGTATGGTAGGCATTCATAGAATGACAGGAAGAGCTATTGTATCTAGGAATCTCCTAATCTAACAGAGTCTTAGCCAAAAAATGTTTAGCAGGCCTTGTTTTTTTTTTGTTTTGTTTTGTTTTGTAGTGCAGGGACAGAACCCAGGGCACAAGCTAGACAAGCGTGCTGTCACTGAGCTACATCCCCAGCCCAGCATGTCTTCCTTTGGATGATTCTTTGGTAGTCCCAAAGAATCACTGCTGTCTTTTCTAAATGCTTTTAAGCCATAGGTTGAGAATTTTGTCCTCCAATTTTGCTCACCATCGTCAGTAAGACTGGTTCTTAAAAACACAGCCTGCACAAATTCCAAATTTCTGGCCTTTCTCAATATTGCCACAACCCTCACAGCCTCTGGCCACAAGGCAGATAGACAGACAGATGACCCCTGAGCTCCTCATCTCAGCCAGTGCTTGGAACCCTCTCTGCCCTGCTCCCCAGCCCAGTGCTGCTCCTTAGTGCCCCCTCCTTGTCTTAGTGCCCTGCCTCTCTTATCAGCACAGTTTCTGCTCTTTCCAGCTGGACTCTGTTCTCCACAGAGCAGAATACAGAAGACAGGGCTTTTCTAGAACCCCCTGCTCCAGTGGTGCCCAATTCATCACCTGTCAAATGCCTTTCATCC